GGGGCCCCTCTTAACAGAACTAGGATGGCCCCCCTCGACACCTAAGGCCAGCCCTTTCCTGTGGTGTCATCTCATGCCGCTGCACACCCACTAGAAACTCGCACTCGCCTCCCGGTCGAGCTCCGGGCCCCTCCTGCGCCCCCAGGATGGCACTTGGCATCAAAGGGGACTTGGATGATGGTAAGCGGTTCCCTCCAGACCATGTACCTTCTTCCTTCTAGTTTCGGCTTCCAGCCATCTTACCCTTTGGGGGTGGTGTGTTCTTGGGAAATTCATAATGAGCACATTGCCCTGAGTACCCACCTGAAAGCAGGGTTCCCCATAAAACAGGACTGGTGACTGGCATCCCACCGAATAACCAAATGACCATACTGGTGAGAACAAGTTAGATCAAGGTCAGAGAGGCTCCTCTCTGACCCCGACCCCAAGTCCTTCCTCTCACCCGAATCTTGGCCCCTGACCTGCCTGCTCACCTCCAAGCAATATCAAAAGGGGTCTCTCCCCAGATATAAAGCTAAATCTCCACCACACCTCAAATCCTCTACAGGTTTTTCCAGCCCACGAATACCAAGCTGAGAGTCAGAAGAGAAGACCAGAATGTGAGAAAGAGGCTCCCTTAATTTCCTAAGCTTTTCAGGGTGGGGAAAGAAATGGGGACTTTTCTCCCTTGGCGAAGGGGCCACTGGGCCCCAAGTCCCCCTTCCCAGGCCTCACCCTGGGCCTCTTGGCCACACCCTCTGTTCTCAGTTAGAACACGGAGTAAGGGTGGCGGAGTTCCAGGCGCACGTCCCAGGCTGGGCACACTGCCAAGGGGTTGGACCAGTGCTGGGCCAGCTAGGAAGATCTGCAGCAGTGCTGGGACAGGAGGAAAAGACTTAGACCACCGGGCAGAAAGGAGCAGGCAGGGGTCCCTTGGCTGGTGGGCACACCCTCCTGAAGAATTAGCATTTTAGAACGTGAACCCAAAGTCAGGGTTCAAATCCCACTTCTGTGCTGTGTGATCTTGGCCCAGAGATTTCCTTCCCTGAGCGCCCACTACAAAGGATAATGGGGGTCAAATCTCTCCCAGCGAGAAAACATGTGCCTCTACACACACACACACACACACGCACACACACACACACACGCGCGCGCGCATACAATGAGATGCCAGAAGTCAATAGACCTGATTCCGCTAGGGATTATGGTGTGGCCTCAGGTAGGGCAATTTCTATCACCTCTCTGAGACGTAAGCAGAAAGGTAACAATGGGTGCAGGGTGGGTAGGGGACGTAACTGCAGCAACTGAGCAGGGAAGACAGGAGTGGGGAGGACAGTCTAGGAATTACTACCTGAGTGACACAGAACAGGGTGTCATTGCTCTGAACCTCTGTCTCTAATCTGAGACAGGCTGACCTCGAGCTCACTACATCCAGGGGTGACCATGAACTGACCCTCCTGTCCTCACCTCAGTGCCAGACTGGCAAGCCGGTGCCACCACACCCTGAGAGGCAAACGCTCCGCCCACTCACTGAGCTACATACATCTCAGGCCCCATTTCTACCGTTGAAAAAAAACATCACATTCATTTCTTTCTGTGTATGGGGGTGGGGCTGCGTGCTTGCCTTTGGGAGTGTGTGAAAGTCCGGGACACCTTGCAGGAGTTCATTCTCTCCTTCCACCAGGTGGGTTCAGGGTCCAAACTCAAGTGATCAATCAGACTTGGCACTGTTTCTACCTTTTTAAAGGGAGACTGTCACTTCTGCTGCCTGTCATAGTTGTAAGACTGGACTGGAGGAAGGGTGTCTTTACTCTGCTTCTGAGTGTGCAACACCCTGTCACTATCATTCCATTACGTTGAGGCATCCGTGTAAAAGCCGGGTGTGTGATTACACACTCACAAGCATACACATACTTGCATGCATGCACGTGTGTAATTGCACATTCAGAGGCCCATAGGTTACTCCAGGGTACAAGAGACTCAAACTAGAGTCATTTCTTCCTAACACTAGCCAATCGCCACGCCTCACTTCCTAAACCTCTGACATATATTAACTCTTTTAATCTTCAAACCACTGTAGGAATCTGTCATGGTGATGCAGTCCTATGACCATAGCACTCAGGGAAGAGGTTGAGACAGGAGGATCATAAGTTTCAGGCCTGTCTGAACTACCCAATGAGACTTTGTCTCCCAGCCCCACCTCACAAGCACCCAAAACCAAACAAACAAAAACCACCCCTTGGGGAGGAGTGGGGACTATTACTGTGCCCAGGGAGGCTAAGCAACCTACCCAAAGTCACACAGCAAGGGCAATAATGGTGTCTGAACTGGAACCCTGACCCAGAAGAGGCAGCCCCTCCACTCTGTTTCACAGCAAGGCCAGAAAGTCAGCGAGAGGCCCATACTTCCCCTCAGAACATCCGGAGAACAGACTGAGAGGGGAAGGAGGGTCCCTCTACAGCCACCAGCTGGCTCCTTCTATGGAGGAAGAAACTCTGCCACCCTAGCCCAGGAGAGTAGGATTACAGAGCTCAGCTGCCTGGGAGGTGGGGCGCCGGCCCCACCCCCCACCCCATTCCCCTTCTCTCTCCCAGTTCCCTCTGTCCAAGGGCCCCCAGCTCAGTGAGGCCCGCCCACCCCCACCCTCTGGGCAGGAAGACAAACAGGGCTGGAACAGTACAGTACAGGACGGAATGTCCTCTGGGCAGGCAGGACTGAGGCCCCTGCCCCCACCAGCCAAGAGGGAGTTCATGGGGGCGCCCCCTTGGCTCCTCCAATACTAGGCCAGCCTGCCCCCTTCAGGGCCTTACACAGCCTTGCACTAATGGGCTTCCCCACTCCACACCCCCGCCCCCTGCCTCCAGACTGGAACATTTTTATAGCCCTCCCGCCCCCCCCCCCAGAAGTGGCCTCTGCTCCCCGACTTGATGACGATTAAGAAAGGACAGTCTCCTGTCCCAGAGTCGGCTTCCTGGAGTAGGGGGCCAGCATCACACGGAGTTGACTGGGCTCAGTCGGGTATAGGTTGTGTGATCTCTTGGGCAAAGAACTTCAACTTTCAGAGCCTCAGTTTCCCCCTTCGCAAGGTGGGTTTTAAATTCTCCTTCTCCCCTGTCAACGCCAGGCATAGTGACATGCCTATAGATGTATAATCCCAGAACTCAAGAGATGGAGTCAAGATCAGAAGCCTAGGGTCATCCGGGGCTTAGGCTACATGAGACCCTGTCTCAAACAATAACTGGGTGCAGAGGCACATGCTTTTAATCCCAGCTCTCAGGAGGAAGAGACAGGCAGATCTCTGTAAGTTTGAAGTCAGCCTGGTCTACAGAGTGAGTCCAGGGATACACAAAGAAACCCTGTCCCGAAAAACCAAATAAAATAAATACATAAAGATAAATAATAAACTGGGTGGTGGTGGGATTTCTCTGAGTTCCAGGCCAGCCTGATCTACAAAGTAAGTTTCAGGACAGTCAGAACTGTTACACAGAGAAACCCTGTCTCAATAGACAGACAGACAGACAGACAGACAGACAGACAGACAAATAAATAATAAAGTTCCCTTGGGCTCCCATGAGGGTCAGATAAGTACATGTGACAAACACATAGGACTGATCAACTGCTAACTGTTAGTTTGTGGGTTAGAAATCTTGTAAGCATCAATAATACTGAATATAAGACTGAATATTTCTTCTTTTTGTAAAAGAAGAAAAAAATCAAAAAGAGACATATGAGTCAGTTATGAAGGCACAAACCTATAATCCCTACACTTGGGTGGTAGAGGCACAGGATCAGGTGTTCAAGGCCAGCCTGAGCAACATAGGGAGCTCCTGTCAAATAGACTATAGTGTCAGATAGAGTTTGCGATTTTGTTTGGTTGTTTGCTTGTTTGTTGTTGAGACAGGCTCTCACTATGTAGCTCTGACTGGCCTGGACATGTAGACTAGGCAGGCCTCAAATTCGAAGATCTACCTCCCAAGTGCTGGAATTAAAGGCATGCACCACTACTCCCAGGTTTTCTGGATTTTTGTTTTGTTTTAAACAAGTTTTGGGTTGGTTTGGTTTTTCGAGACAGGGTTTCACTGTAGCTTTGGATCCTCTCCTGGAACTAGGCTCTTGTAGACCAGCCTGGCCTAGAACTCACAGAGATCCCCCTGCCTCTGCCTCCCAAGTGCTGAGATTAAAGGTGTGCGCCACCACTGCCCGGCTTACACCCGGAGTTTTAAGTGGGTTTGGCACTTGACAGGGAAAATGATCTAATAGTGAGAACAAATAATTGATAGATATTAATATTACTGGTGATTCTCTCTCTCTCTCTCTCTCTCTCTCTCTCTCTCTCTCTCTCTCTCTTTGATAGATATTAATATTACTGGTGATTCTCTCTCTCTCTCTCTCTCACACACACACACACCCCGAAGTCAGGCATTTGAAGTTTATTAAAGGGTAGAGGTGCTGGGCAGAATACAGGGGTTGGTTTGCTGTGTCACCCTTGGTGGGGCCCTGCCCCTCTTAAGGCCCCTTTGGTGTGTCTGTTAGACTTTGAGATATCTCTGTGAGATTCAGCTTGTCAGAGGAGGGGAAACCCGGAGGGAAGGAAGCCTGGAAGGCTACAGGCTCTTCGTGCTCCAACTCTCCTTTGGACTCAGGCCAGCACTACCACCCCCTCCCATCGGGAGGCCTCCCTGTCCCCCCAGGCGGCGTCTCTAGCTCGGGGGGAACGAGCTGCAGATAAATCCTGGAGAGGAAAGAACGCCTTAGGCACATATCCCTGGGGGAGAAGCCTGGAGCAAGGCCCTGCAGGGAGGGCCACATGGGCTGGGACCAAGACAGGTAAAATTTGGGATAAGGAGAGGGGCTTCAAGAGGAGAAGCTCCCGGGGTCAGCGATGTTGCCGGAACCCCAAGTGGAGGCGTCCCATATGTGACCTATCGCATACAATTTTCTTTCCACAGGTCTAGCACGGAGCTACGGAAGGAGAAGTCGCGGGATGCTGCACGCAGCCGGCGCAGCCAGGAGACGGAAGTGCTGTACCAGCTGGCGCACACGCTGCCTTTCGCGCGCGGCGTCAGCGCGCATCTGGACAAGGCCTCCATAATGCGCCTCACCATCAGCTACCTGCGCATGCACCGCCTCTGCGCTGCAGGTGAGCCTGGAACGCCCCGCCCCCCGCCTCTGCCCAATGCGAAGGCTCCGCCCCCGGGAAGCCTTTCCCCGCCTCCCTGGCCCTAGAATCCGCTCTCTAAGCGAAGACCCGCCCTTCTAGTGCCGGACCAATCGGAGTCCTGGGTTCAGATAGACCCCTTGGGAGGCCCCACCCCTTAGGATCTAAGGAGGCCCCTTGAGGTCTTAGGCTTGGTCTTTGTGGGAGACTAAAGTTTCTACCCACTTAATTTTGTGTTTATTTTCTTTTTGTTTCTTGATTTTTTGGTTTTGGTTTTTTGTTTCTTTTTCTTGAGAGGGGATCTCACTGTGTAGCTCTGACTGACCTGGAACTTGCTATGCAGACCAAGCTAGCCGTGAACTCACAGAGTTCTGCCTTCTCTGCCTACCTACTCCTACCCACCCATTCACCCCGCCTTCAAGTGCTGGGATTAAAGGAATGCACCACCACATCGCCAATTTATGTGTTTGGTTTCTTTTTTGCTATCCTGGATATTACACCCAAATCCAAGAGGTGTGATATCCAAGCCCTCTACCACAAAGTCACGCTCCCCAGAACCCCCCTCACTGGGGGATTCTAGGCAGGCATCCTACGGTAGAACCACATACCCAACCTCTTGACTGTTTTATTTTGACACAGGGTCTTACTAGGTTGCTCAAACTGGCCTTGAACAAGACATGAATTTTTGGTCCTTCTGCCTCAACTTCACATAGTCACCATGCTTTGCCAATCGTGCCCACCCAAGGAGGCTTCACAACCATATTTTCAAAATTCCTTGAAAGCCTCTCTTCATCCTCTGTCCTCTTCTCTAGTTCTGTTTCTTATTCTCTTAGCAACCACCTGAGGAAGCACGTGTGCGCTCTCTCGCGCACTCTCTCTCTCTCACACACACACACATACACAGAGAGAGAGAGAGAGAGAGAGAGAGAGAGAGACGCCTAGAAATTTGAAAAGGTTTCATTATAGAGGATCTACCCATTAAATCCCCTTGCCCCATAGAAGAGGGGGAGTTTGCCCCTTTTATAATTCCGTCAGCTGTCCTCTGACCTCCATGTGCACAGGAAATAAATAAATAAAATAAAATGTAATGGAATTCTGTGTTCTGGAAGGCCCTGACATTTTAGAATTCCGCCCATCTGGCAGGCTATCCATACCCTCCCCCAAGAACTCTAAAGAACTTGCTCACAGCTCCAGAATTCCGAGCGACCCCAAGCCACATTGAAGTTCAACTTCTCAGTTCACTCTTAAATCTTGGGGGAGTCTATCCCTCTGGAGTCCGTGTTCCTGTTTCCAAAGCGTAGTGGCCTGGCCCTCTTCTTTGGGATTTCAGATCCCTAGAATTTTCTGCCACTCACCTGAGCATTTCTATGAATTCATATGGGCAAGGGAAGATGGAGGGAAGCTAGCTAGGGTAAATCCGTGACTGACCACAGCTGCCCCATCCTCCCCCTCCCCGCCGGCTTGGGCACCAGGGGAGTGGAACCAGGTGGGAACAGGGGGAGAACCACTGGACGCCTGCTACCTGAAGGCCCTCGAGGGGTTCGTCATGGTGCTCACCGCCGAGGGAGACATGGTTTACCTGTCGGAAAATGTCAGCAAGCACCTGGGCCTCAGTCAGGTGAGCTGCCTGCTCTGTATCTGCTCCTCCCCTACTGGTGATGCTGGGGGGTCGGTTCCCCAAAACCTTAGTTCTTCCTTTACCGAAGTTCACAGTATGGCAGAGGGAAGAGAGGAATGTCACCAGACAGGATGGTCAAAGCTGTGATGGGACAGCCTAGATGTAGGAGATGTGCAGCCTGGGGCTGCTTAAAAGAAAGGATATCTTAGTTGAAAGCTGAATGCCTTAGCCAGTCAGGCTGTGAGCAGAGGGGCAATGAGGACCGTGACTGTACATGCCAGCACAGACAAAGGTCCAGTGGGGAGATGAACGTGGAACAGTTTGAAGAAATTACTTAGTTCATCGCGGACAGAGGACAGTGGAAGAAGTTGAGAGGGATAAAAAAGGTCAGACAGTTCGACAGGTAGATAACGTGTGTTCAGTGAGGTTTGTCTCCAAGGCACTGGGGAGCCATAGGAGTCAAAACAAGGGGGAGGTTTGCTCAAGAGGTAAGATCATATTTACAGTTTATAAAGGGAAAGACTAGAGATTAGGGGATCAGCAGGGACTGGGATACCCCCTCAGGCGGGAGGAGAGGAGCTGAGCAAGACATTTGGGGACTAGAACTAGCTTTAATTCATCCTTAAAGTAAACCCTGTATAAGAAAGTTTGTGTTCTTTTTTTCTCTTTCATGTAAATGGCTGTACAGTGGACCTCTGTTCCTTCTCCCTGATGCATAACCCCATTCCTGGTACCAATTTCTCTGTGAGTGTGAACTCTCAGAGTCAAACAAGTGACTGCCCCAAAGTTTCAGACTAGAAAGGGATAGAACCAACTCTCAAACCCAGCTGTAGGGTGTTGTTAGAAGAGTGCAGTGTCACCCACACATCGGGTTGGATCCCACTATGGATGCTTTTTCATCTGTGTCCCCTCCTCCCAGTACCAGGCTCATTTCCTAAACTGAAACATGTAACAGACTCTTTGACTGCCCAGGAGGGGTGACTTGCCCTTTGCATTTGTGACTCCTGATTTTTATTTTTATTTGTTTTTATTACTAGTAAAAGTTTATTTATCTATTTTATGTATATGGGGGACCTGACTGACTCTGTGTGTGTGTGTGTGGTGTGTGTGTGTGTGTGTGTGTGTGTGTGTGTGTATCACCTGCATGACAGATGGGTCCTGCATATATGTATTGCATCATGTGCATTACAGGTGCCATCAGAGGCTAGAAGTGGACTTGGATCCCCTGAAACTGGAATTACAAGCAGTTGTCAGTCACCTAATATGAGTTCTGGGAACTGAACTCAGGTCCTCTGTAAGAGCAGCAAGTGCTCTTAACCAGTGAACTATCTGTCCTCCATCCCTTTCTTTCTTTCTTTTCTTCTTCTTCTTCTTCTTCTCCTTCTCCTTCTCCTTCTCCTTCTTCTTCTTCTTCTTCTCCTTCTTCTTCTTCTTCGAAGGGGTCTTCCTATGTAGCCTTGTAGCCTTAGCTTGCCTGGAACTCAATATGTAAACCGGGCTGACCTGGAACTCACGGAGATTCATCTGTTTCTGCCTCCTGAGTGTTGGGATTAAAGGCGTGGGTCACCACACCCTGCACAACTCCCATTTTAAAAGAATTCTCTTACTCCAGAGAGCCACAGACTCACTTCACTTACTTTATTGAGCTTTTTCCCTCCCTTGGGAACAGCATCTCATATAGCCCAGGCTAACATCAAACCCACTATGTGACAGAGGATGACCTTGAACTTCCCATCCTCCTTCCTCCACATCCCCATTTCTGAAATGATAGGTACTTGGCACAGTGCCTAGATGCTGTGTCTGATGTCAAATCCAGGGTCCAGTCCAAATTGAACAGGTGTGCTACCCACTTAGCCACATCTCCAGCCCAATACATTTTCTTTTCTCTCTTTTTTTTTTTCAAATGTCACCTCCTCAAAGAAACTATCCAGGGCCACTGTCTTTAAACTAGTATCTCATCATGTGACCTTACCCAGGTGCCTCCCCAGATGCACACATGCATGTCCACCACCCAATAAATATCAAAAGGCAAGGCTCCATCTACGATCTGTCCAATCATTTAGGGAGGCTCCTAATAAGAACTGGGTGCTGAGAACTGGTTGCTGAATGAAGGAATGGCTGAATGAGTGACTAAGGAGGCCAATGACCTCGACCAACCTCCTGACTGGGGCAAAAGTGACCAGCAGAGGGTGGAGGAGTCAGCCCAGGAGTCCTGTTAAGTGTGTCTTCTCTCCACTATAAACCCTGCCTTTTCCCCAGCTGGAGCTCATCGGACACAGTATCTTTGATTTTATTCATCCCTGTGACCAAGAGGAACTCCAGGATGCCCTGACCCCCAGGCCAAGTGAGTGCCCTGTAAGCCCAGACCCCACTTCTCAGGGTAGGAAACTGACCCGGCCCTCCCCTTCCTATCTGGAACACCTGCATAGAGAAAAGTGGAGAGAACTAGCTGTGCCCTGAGTGCTCCCTTCCCTGGGGACTCCCTTCTCTGGGTGCTCCCTTCCCTGGGTGCTCTCATTCCTGGTTCCAGGTCCCAGCTTTGGGGATCAGACTGGGGAGACTTTAAGATTTCATTTCTGAGCCAGACACACCTTTAATCCCAGCATTTGGGAGGCAGAGGCACGTTCGGGGTCAGCTGAGTGAGTTCCAGGACAGCCAGAACTACATAGAGATACCCTGTCATTTCCCCCATTCACACCCCCTCCCAAAAAAATGGAAGGAAGAAAAAAATAAATTTTGTTTTTATTTTAAGTAGGGCGGAGCAGTAGGGAGGGGTGCTAAGAGGTGGGGAGATGTTCATATAGTGCAGGTAATTTCAGAGGCCAGACGTGGGTTTTGGAGTTACAGATGATTGTGAGCTGCCTGACATAGATTCTGGAATCCAAACTCAGGTCCTCTACAAGAGTAATACCAGCTCTTAACAGTTAAGCCACCTCTGAAGCTGGGAAGACTTTCACATTCACTTAGCAACACGTCACCTCTCCGTGCTTTCCCAGGTCTGTCCAAGAAGAAGCTGGAAGCCCCCACAGAGCGCCACTTTTCCTTGCGCATGAAAAGCACACTCACCAGCAGGGGGCGCACGCTCAACCTCAAAGCTGCCACTTGGAAGGTGGGCTGGTACTGGTCTCAGTGGGGTGGGTCCGACCCCGGAAAATCTCACTCCTTATTGGATTTGGGTCTCCCCGGCTAAGAGATTTGCTGGAACTCCTTCAGACAGTCCGATAGGGTATTAGAGCACGTATGAAATTGTGTTTCCTGGGGCTAGACATTAGGATGGCAAGGTCCTCAGCCTCCTGAATTAAGTCTCCCAAGTTTTCCGAGGGTTGGAATGAAGATCCAAGACCATAATCAAGGATCTTTTCTCCCCGGTTCCCTATGGGACCCAGACACAGGTCTCCAGCCCTGTGGGTAGCCTAAGGCTAAAATGGGTACTCACACTCACAACGCCCCACTTCACCCAAAGGTGCTGCACTGCTCAGGACATATGAGGGCCTACAAGCCCCCTGCGCAGACTTCCCCCACCGGTAGCCCTCGCTCCGAGCCTCCTCTGCAATGCCTGGTGCTTATCTGTGAAGCCATCCCCCACCCATCCAGTCTGGAGCCCCCTCTGGGCCGAGGGGCCTTTCTCAGCCGCCACAGCCTGGACATGAAGTTTACATACTGCGACGAGAGGTGGGCAGTGGCTTTGTGCAGACCCACACCCACCCACCATCTCTTCTCTTTGATTTTGCCCAAATTCTCTCTCTCTCTCTCTCTCTCTCTCTCTCTCTCTCTCTCTCTCTCTCTCTCTCTGTGTGTGTGTGTGTGTGTGTGTGTGTGTGTCTGGTTTTGCCCAAATTCTGTGTGTGCCTGCCTGTGTGTCTGTCTGTCTCTGAATGGCCTTAAACTCCTAACCTCCCTGCCTCTATCTCCCGAGGGAGGGGATTACAGGCATGCTGGGGTTGGAACCTAGGACTCTGTGCATGCTAGGAAAGTCTCTGCCAACTAAGCTACATGCTTGGAAGCAATGACTCTAGGTTCTGATGCCTTGGATTTCCATCCTGGGTCTGTAACACTGCCCAGGTGACTTCGCCTCTCTGCACCTCCATGTCTTCAACTGTCCTGTAGGAGAATAGTGCCCAGCACTCCTCGCATCGCACAGTGCAGAGCACAATGCAAGGGTCTCATTTTCAGTCTGTAATGATTTTCATTCTTTCTTTTTGTCGTTTCTGCTCCAGCTTCATGCTTCTTTCACATTATTTTCTTTATCTTCTTCCTTTTCCACCCTGCTGTATACTCACACCTAATTATTTTCTTTTTCACTTACTTATTTACTTGTTGTTGTGGTGCTAGAGGTGGAATGCAGGGCCTTACATGTGCCTGTCAGGGGCTCTACCCCTGAGCCACACCCCCAGCCCCTCAATGGAAGATTCTAGGCTCTACCGCTAAGGCATGCCCTGAGCCCTTGATTTTTTGAGATATGACCTGGCTGTATTCCAGTTCACAGTCAAATTCACAATCCTGCTCCAGCCTCCTGAGTGCTGTTATTACAGGAGTAAGTTGTCACACTCTTTCCGTTTCTTACCCTCCCCTTACCTCTCTGCTGCTGCCCCATCTCTCATCTTGCTGTTGTTGTCTGTGACACCTGCCCTCTCCCTCCATCTGGGCCTTGACCAGTATCTCTCCATTTTACTACAGGATCGCAGAAGTCGCTGGCTACAGCCCTGATGACCTGATTGGCTGTTCTGCCTATGAATACATCCATGCACTGGACTCTGATGCAGTCAGCAGGAGCATCCACACTTGTAGGTGACCAACATGTCCCCAGGCCAGAGCCAGCTGCTGCATGATCCCACCTAACAGCAATCCCCAATCTCCTGAACAGAAAGCCAGGGTGTTGTGGGACTCCTGCCCCCACCACACCCCCACCCCCCGGAACCCCAAATGCTAGGTCCTGCATTTTTGTCTTCTATGACGTCTCATTCCTAATTCCAGCTTCCTGAGCTTTCTGTCCTCAGGTGTCCCTGTAAGACACTGACCCCCACCCACCCTTTCCCCAGTGCTGAGCAAAGGCCAGGCAGTAACGGGACAGTATCGCTTCCTGGCCCGGACTGGAGGCTACCTGTGGACTCAGACTCAGGCTACAGTGGTGTCAGGGGGACGGGGCCCCCAGTCAGAAAGTATCATCTGTGTCCACTTCCTGATCAGGTGAGCAGAAGGGTGTAATGTGTGTAGAGGGATGCATTGGCAGACCTGTGTATTGTGCATGTATAAGGAAATGTATATGTATGCCTGTGTGAAACGTGTATGGCCATATGAATGTATATATGCAAATGTGTGTGTTCTTTTTTGTTTTGTTTTTCAAGGCAGGGTTTCTCTAAGTGACCTTGACTGTCTTAGAACTCTATGTAGACCAGGCTGGCCTCAAACTCACAGAGATATACCTGCCTCTGCTTCCCAAATGTTAGGTTTAAAGGTATGCACCACCAGGGCCCCTTGCTAATTTTTTTAAAAAAAAATATTGGTGGTAGGTCAGTGGACTGAAGAGATGAGTTAGCAGATAAGAGCACTGACTGTTTTTCCAAAGGACCTGGATTCAATTTCCAGCACCCACATGGTGGCTCACACCCATCTGCAACTCCAGTCCCAGAGGATCAGGCATCCTCCCCTGTGGGTGCTGCACATACATGGTACATAGTCATATAGGCAGGCAAAACATCCATACACATATAAATAAATAAATATATATTTTTCTGGGTGGTGGTCGCACACCTTTAATTCCAGCACTCAAGAGACAGAGGCAGGCATATCTCAGTGTGTTTGAGGCCAGCCTGGTCTACAAAGCAAGTTCCAGGACAGCCAGGGCTGTTACACAGAGAAACCCTATCTCAAAAAAACAAAACAAAAAACATTTGTTGGTGTTTTGAGATAGGTTCTCATGTAGGCCAAGCTGGTATCAAACTCATAGCAATCCTCCTGCCTCGGGCTCTCAAGTGCTGACTAGGTCCAGACCAACAGTTCCTTTCTCATGGTGACTAGTGGTCTGGAGAATGAATCGGCCACTGTTTATTTATCTATGTGCCAGCTGGGGGACTTTGGGCTGTGTCCTGTTTGGGGATTATACAAACAGCCGTTATAAACATTCTCAAGTGGGAGTTTGTGAGAATGAACATTTTCATTTCTCCTGGGTAAGCATCTAGGAGGGGAATGGGGAGGTCATATGTTTCCATGAAACTGAACTTTCTAAGGCACTGAAAACTGTTCTCACAGTGCTGTGCCATTCTGCCTTCCCTCCGGCCTTGGATGTGAGCCCCAGTGCTCCCCATCCTTGCCAACATGTCATATTGCTGCATATTTTCACTTTGGGAATTCAAATTGCTAAAATCTGGAGTAGAGTGCCTGCTTGGAATGGCCCAGTGAGGGGCTGGGGAAATGGCTCAGGGACAGAGCACTTGCCTAATATCCTATAGTAAGGGGTAGGGATGTGGCTCAGTGGTAGAGCCCCTGCCTAGAGCACACCAGTCCAGAGACATTCAGTCACAGGTTTAAAGTCACACAGCTCAGAAATGGCAGAGCTGAGATTTGAACCCAAGATGCTAGCTTCAGAGTTCTTGTTCTCAACCTCTGTGTATTGATGCTTAACTGAGAGGTGTCTGTGGACTGAATAAATGAATGAGCTCCATGTAGCCTGTATGCATATATATGACACAAAGTACATAGAGGTTTTGTGCATGTCCTTTTCCTCCAAATACCTGGGTGTCTACAGGTATTCCTCTATGTTTGTGTGTATCAAGTGTGTGCCTGTGTCACTATGTACATTCTGTCTTTCAGGGGGATAAAGGCAGCCATCTTAAACTGCTACATCTCCAGGATAGGCTTAGTGAGGGTAGAGTCATAACTTCTCCGGGAGCTGCTGGGAGCACCAGATGCACTTGCGATCTGCCCTATGATATGCTTTTGCTAATGAAATGCAAATGAATGCATGGTCCTCAACCTCAGACCCACTCACTCCTCCAAAGCCAATTTACCCAGCCAGCGTTAGGGTTGTCTCCAGAGCCAGAGACTGTGGGATGGGAGGTGCGGGGGACGAAAAAGGATGTATTTATAAACCTGTTCCCTTGAGGATGGAGATGTCTATGAATAGAAGCTTCTCAAATAAATGCTTATTCATAGAAATATAGCTATGAATTCTTCATATTTGGGAATGCAATGAAGAATATGGGTTTGGCTTTTTTTTAAGTTTTTTTGAGACATGGTTTTCTATAGAGCATACCAACATCAAATTCATTATGTAGCTAAGACTGATCTTGAACTCCTGACCCTCCTGTCTCTGCCTCCAAAGTCTTGGGATTACAAGCAGCAGCCATCAAGTCCAACAAGTTCTGTTTTATTTAGTCTTGTTGAGACAGGGTCTCATGGTAGTAGCTCAAACCAGCTTCTCAAACTTCCTGCCTCTCAGCCTCCCAAGTACTGGAATACATGTTGGCTCCACCACTCCAGGCTTTAAGTTTCTTTTCAACACCACTGCAGGAGCCTGGAGGAGGGTTTGCTAGCATGCATAAGGTCCTGAGTTCAATCCCCAGCACAACAAGCAAACACATATCTAGATAGATAGATAGATAGATAGATAGATAGATAGATAGATGGATGGATGGATGGATGGATGGATGGATGGATGGATGGATGGATGGATAGATAGATAGATAGATAGATAGATAGATAGATAGATGCCATTATAGATTGAGTCTCCCTTATCATAAATTTGGGAGTAAAAGCATTTCTGAGGGGCTAAGGATGTGACTCAGTTGGTAGGATGCTTGAGCATGCACAAAGCCTGGCGTTCCATCCTCGGACCCCATAACTTGAGCATGGTGGTATGTGCCTCTAAGCCCAGCACTCAGGAGGTGAAGATAGGAGAATCAGAAGTTCAAGGCCATCCCTAGCTGAGGCCAGCCTGGCCGATAGGAGACTCATCTCAAAATAAGCAAAATAAATCCTGGTGAGAAAGCAGCAAATTCCTTTCCCTTCAACTCCTAGATGATAATGTCCTCTGTAGGAAGACATAGAAGAGCAGCCACCTGGGCAGGAGGGTGGGCAAGGACACTCTCTGACTCCCACTGTTTTTTCTCCTGCTCCCCCCTTCCCCCACAGCCGGGTAGAAGAGACTGGAGTGGTGCTGTCCCTGGAACAAACAGAGCAACACACTCGCAGACCCCCTCAGCGGGGCGCCTCTTCGCAGAAGGGTATCCCTGGCAACAGTCTAGGTATGGATCCAGGCCATTGTTTCCTGAGGACCCCTAGAAGGAAGGTCAGATGCATTCACATGGCTCACAGGGCCCTGTGGGACCGTCTGCTGGCTCTCTTCCTGTCACTCGCCCACCAAACCACACTGATTTCCTCTCGGCACTCAGGGCATGCCACACTCTTTCCGTTCACTGCCTTCCCCCGTTTCTCTGCTTAGGGTGCCTTTCCTTCCAGTCCTCCCTACAGCCAAGAGTGAGATGATTGCTTGAGCTTCTTGTGCCTGCTCTTCCTCCCACTGTGGTTCCCTATCGCTCACACTTCCCTACTCCTTGGGGGCGAGGTGCGTGCCTCCAGCCAGTCTTAACACACAGGAATGCAATGGCCAGAAGCTGTTTGCAGCCACTAAGCCCTTCCCCAAGGACCCTCCAAGGCTCCATAGCAATCTGCTTGTGAAATGGCCTAGAATGAGGCCTTTTGGCTACTCCTCTCCGGCAGTAAACACAATGGCCATCCTCACATACTAGGCTGAGCACAGCAGAGCAGGGTTTGGCCCTCACCCCTCTGTAATATCACTGTGTCCTGTTCATCCTCCAGACCCACCTGCTCCCCGGATTCTGGCCTTCCTGCACCCTCCAGCCCTGAGTGAGGCCTCCCTGGCTGCTGACCCTCGCCGTTTCTGTAGCCCAGACCTGCGCCGCCTTATGGCACCCATTCTGGATGGGCATCCCATAGCTGCCACCCCCAGCACACCACAGGCTATGCGTCGACCCCAAAGTCCTCTTCCGGTAAGCAGTGTCACCTCCCTGAGCACACAAAGAACCCATTCTGCTTGGGCCTCTAGCTTGAGTCTTGCTGTCCTTTGTTCTCAATGTCTCCATCTCAGGGATGAGATGGGGTTTCTCTAAGACCTAAGTTACAAGGTAAGTATGGTGTCACACACTCAAGATCCCAGTACTTGGGAAGGAGGATTGAGTTCAAGGCCAGCCTAAGCTACACAATAAAACCGTGCCTCAAAAATCAAACAGGCAAGCATGGAAGCACACCCTTGCAATACCAGCACTTGGGAGGTTGAAGCAGGGAGAGTTCAAGGCCAGCCTTAGCTATATAGTGAGTTCCAGACCAGCCTGGAATGAGATCCTGTTCTAGTTTCATTTCTGTTGCTGTGATAAACTGTCCTGACAAAGGGAGCTGGAAAGACTCAGTGGTTAAGAGCGCTTGCTCTTGCAGAGCACCGGAGTTTGGTTCCCAGCGTCCACATTGGATGACTCACAACCACCTGTAATTCCAGCTCCAGAGAATCCAGCAACCTCTTCTGAACTCTGTGGGCATCTGCACTAATGTGCACACACACACACACACACACACACACACACTCAAAAAAGCAACTCAGGGGGAAAAGGTTTTATTTTGACGTGTAATTATAGGTTTCATTTTATCTTTGCAGGGAAGTCACGATGACAGGCGCTTGAGACAATAGGTCATATCACATCTATAGTCAGGGGCAAAGAGAAATGAATGAACGAATGCTTTCTTATGCCCAGCATCATTTCTCCATGCTTAGGCAGTTCAGGACCCCTAACTAGGGAATGGTGTCACCCACAGTGGGCTGGGTCTTCTCACGTCAATTAAGTTTAAAGTGTGTGTGTGTGTGTGTGTGTGTGTGTGTGTGTGTGTGTGTGTTTGTCTGCATGTATATGTATCTGCACCACATGTGTGCCTGGTTCCTGTGGTAGTCAGAGAGGGCATCAGATGCCCCAGAACTGGAATTATTGGATAGTTTTGAGCCACCATGTGGATGCTCAGAATCAAACTTGGATCCTCTGGAAAGCAACAAATTGCCTTTCTTTCTTTTCTTTTCTTCTCTTTTCTTTTCCCTTGTTGTGTTTTTGTTTTGTTTTGTTTTGTTTTGTTTTGAGACAGGGTTTCTCTATGTAACAGTCTTATCTGTACTGGAACTCACTCTGTAGACCAGGCTGGCCTCAAACTCATATATCTGCGTGTCTCTGCCTCCTAAAGGCTTGCACCACCATCGCCCTGCACAACAAATTTTCTTAACCATCAAGCAATTTCTCCAGCCCCTACCTCAATTAACTAATTAAGACAGTCACCCACAGATGTATCCACAGGCCAATTCAGCGTAGACAATCCTCTTTCTAGGTGATTCTAGGTTGTGGCAAGTTGACAAAGCTAACCATCACAGAACCTGCCTCAAAATAATAGATAGATGATAGATAGATAGATAGATAGATAGATAGATAGATAGATAGATAGATGATAGATAGATAGATGATAGAACGAACCAAGAATAATGAGACACACCTGTAATCCCAGAATTTAGGAACTGGAGGCAGGAAGAGTCTAAATTCTAAACCCTCCTCAGCTACATTATGAATTCAGGGGTAACCTTGGACTACCTGAGACAATGTCTCAGAAAAACAAAAACAAAAAATAAAACAACAAAAATAAGCAAGCAAACAAACAAAAACACCTTTGTTTGTATTGCTCTTTGATCCCCTGCAAGCTCCAGTTTAAAAACCTCTACCTCCATGCCAAGATCTTAATTGTGAACACTTCCAAACTCAATCTCTGGTGTTTCCGTGCCAAGATCTTAATTGTGAACACTTCCAAACTCCATCTCTGGTGTTTCTGCTCTCTTTTCCTCCAGGCTGATCTCCCAGATCAGTTGCTTGGGGGCTTAGAGAATGCATACAGACTCTCCACTGCCCGGAAAAACAAGACTGTGGAGGCAGATCTAGATAAAGCTCAGGTGAGTACTGGCATAGAAGAGTCAGCTTATCTGACTTTACAAAAGGGTGATGGGATGGATGATGGGATGGTGATGGGATGGGATGGTGAATGGTAGATGGATGGATGGATGGATGGATAAGTTGATAGAATGACTGATAGATGATTGAACAGATAGACCATTGTTTCGTTGGCTGGGGATGGGAAAGGGAAGACAGAAGGACAGGGAAGGGAAGAAAGAGGGGGACAGAAAAAAATAGATGATGACAGAAACAGATAAGGTAAGAGGCAGAGGCAGAAGGACAGAGAAAACACGCATCCAGATAGAGACAGAGACAACGAAAGACAGTGAGGGAGGCAAGACACTTGGAGAGACATAGAGACAATGAAGGGGTAAGATGGAAAGAGACAGGCAGGGAGAGGGACAGACGAAGGATACAAAGACAGAGAAACAGGGGTTAAGAAGAGACAGAAGAAGAAGGGGAAAGAGATAGAGTGAGAAGAGACAGAGACAAAGAAATAGATACAGAGAGACAGGAAGAGAGAGAGACAAAGAAGGGAGAGATAGAAAGGCAGGGCTACAGGCCGAGCTGGAGCCACGTGGTCAAAACCACAAAGACACAGAAAGACACCAGAGACAGAGAATGACACAAATAACGCTGCCACAGCTATCGTGCCCTCCAGCTAAATAGAAAAGGCACACAGCATCCTGTCCTTTTAAACCCGAGTCAACTGACTGACCTCTGAGGAAAAACAGCTCTTCAGGCAAACCCCTCAGAGGACCCGCCCCCTGCTTCACCCCAGGCCGTAGCTCCTGCTATAAACTCCCTCCTGCCCCCTTACAGGACCCTGACACTCTGGACTTGGAGATGCTGGCTCCCTACATCTCCATGGATGATGACTTCCAGCTCAACTCCAGCGAGCAATGGCCCAGAACCCACCGCAGACCCCCTAGGGTGGCCCGCAGACCCCGTGCTCGGAGCTTCCATGGCCTGTCGCCCCCCATCCCTGAGCCCTCCCTGCTGCCCCGCTGGGGGAGCGATCCACGACTGAACTGCTCCAGCCCCTCCAGGGGGGATCCCCCTACAGCCTCCGTGATGCCTGGGACTCGGAAGAGGTGAGCCACAGTGAAAGAGGGATATAACATAGGCATATAGAAGATCCCTGCCCACTCTTATGCATCAGCCCCATCCCTCGGCATGCTTCCTGTCTCCACCTCTTCAGTCAGGCCCACCACGTTCTCCCAATAGCATATGCCAGTTTTATTGCATCCTCTGTAGCCTTTACATAAAGCCCCCTACTGGTGCCCCCTCCAGGGCTCTCACCACTTACCCAACTCCCTCTGCAGCCAGGAATCAATCATGGGGGACACACTTACATACGAATTATTGACACTTTTTGTTTTAATGAGAAGAAACTGGTACTGGGAATATAGCTCTTCAGTACAGAACTTGCCTAGAATTGACCAAGCACCTGCCTGAAATCCCCCAGTGAGGGCCTTGGGTGTGACTCAGTAGTAGAGCACTTGCCTAGAATCCCCAGTGAGGGTTTGGGGAGGTGGTTCAGTCATAGAGCACTTATCTAGAATCCACCAGTCTGGATGCATTCAGTCACATGTTTAAGGTTACATAGCTCAGTCTCTCACTAGGGGATTCTAGGTGCTCAACTACTGAGTGATAACCCCAGTCCCCTCACTGATGGGTTCTAGGCAGGTTCTCTAGTGCTGAGCTATATTGCCATTGTGGGGAGATGGATGGATGGATGGATGGATGGATGGATGGATGGATGGATGGATGGGGAGAAAAAAATCAGTAGATGGGTAGGTGAGTAGGTAAATTGATAAGTGAATAGATAAAATATTAATAGATGAGTGAATGGTGACTGGAAGGTGAATGGGTGATTAGATGGCTGGATGAATATGCGGGTGGAGAGAAGGACAAATAGAAAGATCAGTGGATAGATGAACGGATGGCTGGATGGGTCTTGAGAGAGTTGATTAATCAGTAGATGAATGGAAGTATAAGTGGATCACCAGATGATGAAGAAGAAGATAGGATGATTGCTGGATGAATGAGTGGACAAATAGGTGAGCGGATGGGTGGATAGGATGAGTGAATAGGTGGGGAGAGGAATGAGCAGATGGATGAATGGATAGATGGGGGTGGGGAGAAAGAGAATGAAGGTTCATGTGTGGGAACTTAGGTCCCAGTGCAGATGAATAAGAGGATGGTTGGTGGCTGGCTGGATGAGTGGGTTGGTAGGCATGTATGTCAAGGACTAGACAGTTGTTTGGGGAGGCCATTGGCTTCCAACAAGGGTACCAACACTTGCCCAGGTTTGTTGTATTTTGAGTCTTACCTGTGTCTCTGCAGGGCCCTGGCCCAGAGCTCAGAGGACAAAGGGATGGAGCAGCTGGAAACAAAGCCCGCCAAGCGGTCCCCCAGCCTGGAACCTGGAAGCTTCCGATTGCCTCCCCTCAGCCTGGTAGGTCTAGGAAGTTGCGGGTGGAGGTTCTGCTCTGAAACTAGCAGGTTTCAAACCTATGTTTTATAGACGGAAAAACCAGAGAGGGCCAGAGGCTGGCTGAAAGGCAGACAGAGCATCAGTGGTCCGGCTGCAGACAGGACCTGGATTCTCTTAAGTCTGCTAATGGGCATAAAATGACCTTGCAAATACATAGCTATCACCAAGAAGAGACACAAAGTCGGTCGAGAGGATTAAGGCAGTTCGTCAGATGAGGAGGAATCGTCTCTGCTTCCGTGGTGCCCCTCCAAAATGAGACAGCCTAGGATCTGGAGTACCACTGCAGAGTTTAAAGAATAAATATTGAGTGTGGTGGCCACGCCCATAACCCCAGTGCTAGAGAGACTGAAGCAGGAGGATTAGCAGATTGAGGTCAGCATGAACTACATAGTAAGATCCTGTCTCAAAAAACAAAACAAGAGAGGCTAAAGAGATGGTTCAGTGGTTAAGAGCCCTGATTGTTCTTCTAGAGGACCCAGGTTCAATTCCCAGCACTGTCAGCTTACAACTGTCTCAGATTCCAAGATCTGACACGCTCATACAGACATACATGCAGATAAAGCACTAATACTATAAAATAAAAATAATTTTTTTAAAAAAAATTAGCAACAGAAGTTTTTTAAAAAGCAAGAAAAACATTCTGCACAATAGCAAAATCTGTTTTTTGTTTGTTTGGTTGGTTATTTATTTATTTTTTTTGTAAAGTCACCCTGGATTGTATGACTTCCACAACACCTCCCTATCTCCCAAAGAACTCTGTTCTAGGGTTTGCAAGAAATGTTTGCATATGAAGGGTGTGAGTGATAATATCAATAGCTCTTCATTACTGTGTGCTGATCCTGGCTGCAATAAATATCTCAAAAGATTACCTTATTAATTCCTTTTGGGTACAGTTTAATATTGTTCCATAATAATAAATATTGCCAAGCATGGTGGCGTATGCCTTCAATCTCAGGAGGCAGAGGCAGGTGGATCTCTGTAAATTTGAGGCCAGCCTGGTCTACAGAATGAGTTCCAGGGCAGCCAGGGCTACACAGAGAAACCCTGTCTTGAGAAATGCTTACATAAATCAATGTCATCATTATGGTGAGACAGTTACATGGAGGAAGTTAAGCAGCGTGATCAGTCCGTGTGGGTGGCACACCTAAATGGGATGCTGGGAAGAATTTAACAAGCTTGTGGACGGTGTGAGGACAGTGCAAGCAAGTCCAGGCTGCTGCAGCATCGGGGCCAACAGTAGCCCCTAGCCATTAAGGCCTAACGCCTTCCAGAGTGGGCATAGCCAACCATAGCAGGGAAACAGCTAGAATGTCACCTCCCTCCTCCCACCTGCTAGGGTGGTCCATCTTCTGAGTACAGCATGAAAACACAGCAAAATTGCACAGCAATGGGATCAGCTGCTTGGGTCACAGAGAAAGGGAAAGGCGGGGGGACCACCAAGAGGACATCTAGAACAGTGATTTTTCCCAAAGTCTCTTGGATGACTAGTACTCAGCAGACTCCAGTTAACCGCTGCACCATACTGTCTTGTCAGACAGGTGATGATGGTGGTGGTGATGATGATGATGATGATGATGATGATGATGATGATGATGATGATG